ACTCACGGTCCGCAGAATACTGGTGTTCAAAAGGATGGTGCCTCTGAACCTGCAGGTAACAGACCCCGGTCAAGTCAGTCATAATCTCCATTGACTCATCAGTGGTCCAATAAAGTCATCCGAGCTGACACAGCTAGTGGCAGTGAGTTCCGCAGCTTTGCACCTTCGTAGAACCGCCCGAAGAGAGAGAACTTCAGGAGAACTAAGTTAAGAAACTAACTCAGGAATCGGGAAGCAAGAGGGGAACTTTGATGGACAACGAGAGAAAGATTTCTGTGACATCCCTGGAGAAAGTGTGTGCCACCTCAAGGGACACGGTGCATCTACCTAAAGGGGTCTTACGTAAGAGAGAGTGAATGCAAGGGGGGGGAAAACAACTTCTGCTTTTTTTTTTGAATTACAACCCCCATCATCCCCAAAGCAACTTCCTTCCAAAGACCAGGAGCTGCGAGAGCAGCCAACTTGGTTTTCAGCCAGCTTTGGGGCCTGCCCAAAACCGGTCCCCCCCCCCCGTGGGCAGCCTTTAGGAAAACAACGGGCATTGCCAACTCCCAGCATGGGTGGGTGAGGGGGGGGGAACGAGGGGAAGATTACCCAACGCTTAAGAAGCTGCACCATGTCACATCTGAGTGAGATCAAGCCAGCTCGGGAGCCGAGGCATTAACATATTAGCTCAAATCCGAAGCGGTTAAAAATAAAACATTTACTTACTCGGGAACGGGGGCTGCCTGGGGTATTGGTTCAAGATGCCGATGGAAGGGATGGGCTTCGGAAAGGGCCAGATAGGGTGAGCAGGGTGGGATAATACGGAATATCTACCCTACGAAAGAATGAACGAAAAGCGCAAAACCAAAGATTTAAAGGAATTAGGGAATTGTACTGACGGTTCCACGTTAAGAAGTTGCACTTTCTTCCCCTCACTGAATCATTTCCTACGGTTTCAGCCTGGTTCCTGCAGAAGGAGAAGTTCGGCTTTCTTCCCAGAGGCTTAGAAAGGGCAGCCTGCTAGGCAGGGAAGCCATCGCGACGGCTGTTGCGCCTAGTCCTCCCGCCGAAGCCCGTTCTGCAACTTCGTACCCGTCCCGGTGGTGAAATCGTTGGTGTGCAACATCAGGAAATCTGGGTGCAATGCCGTGTCTCTTGAGATAAGAGCTTTGAGCAAGAATAGCTTACCTGAGGAAAAACCTGGGATTTTTAATCTCCTGGATTCCTGGAAAGGAATGGGGAAATCAAACTTGGAGCCTAGCCTTGGTGCAGAATTAGGAAGCCATCAAGAGGTCTAACATGTCTTTCGAAACGTCTCCTTGGAGTTTGGAAACCTCTTTGGAGAGAAAAGCAAGAGCCATGAAGGACTGAACTGTCTCCCCTAATCATCATCATCATCATCATCATCCTATGGATCAAGTCCATCCCCTGTCAAGGAAGACAAGTGGAGAATCAAACTCCAAACTCAGATGCCTAGACCACTGACTTATCCAGCTAATGCTGTACTCCCTGGCTGTCTTGGACTACAACGCCTATCATCCCTGGTCCAGCGGGAACTGGGTGGGTGGGTGGACGCACTCGTCCAAGGACCCAGGCTGCCAGAAAACAAACATTTAATAATCCTTTATTTGGGATAAGAAACTATGGATAAAATGATAAAAACTGGATTTTTTTTAAAAAAAAAATCCATTGACTACCTAACGGCTTTCATGAGGCTGCTACTCCAGCAGGAAATCAAAGGTCTGATGGCAAATATCTGGAAAATTAATCTTTTTGACTCAGGGTGGGAGGAAATGGTCCAGGATTTAAGAGTTTCCATCCTGAATTGACAAAAAAAGCAGTTGGGGGCTATATGGTCTTTTTAAAATCAAGGAGGGGCCTCTATTTTAAAGTGGCATGGATCAAATTTAAAAATCAAGAACCCTGAAGAAAATCAGGGGCCCATCATGCACAGCAAGCAGCTGTGGATCCATATTGCCCATCATCCACAGCAAACAGCACCCACACAGCAGACTCAACAGGCACATAGATCATGTGGTCCCTGCCTTCTCCAGGTGGGTGAGACCTGTGCACCTCGACTTTCCATGACAAAATTACCATTTCTAAATGTTGCAATCCTAAATCAACACTTCCCACAGGATGCAAATCTATGTCCCCTTTTAGTACGCTTCTTTTTCCCCACAATGCCGAAGTAGTCATCCTTCCGGAGACAGTGGAAGCTTTTTTTGGGGGGGCGCAGAAATGAAAACCCCGAGCCCCTGAAGTGGAAAAGGAAACATGAACTCCAGTGATAGAAGGAAATCTTCTGAAGGACAAGAGAAAAGAAGGATAATTCAGCATCCGCATTTCTTTAAAAGAAAAGACAATCGTGTGGAAAAAAGTTGAATGCAGCAGGAGAAGAGGAAAACCAAAAGTGAGATACCCTCCCTCCCTAAAGGAAGCCATAGGCTTGAGTTTGCAAGGCTGTAGAGAACATGATAATTTGGAGATCGCTCATTCATAGGGTCGTCGTAAGTTGGAGGTGGCTTGATGGCACATAACCACACAATTTCTTTAGAGGGAGGTTGAGAGGAATGGCTGGGTACCAGAGATGTTTCACAAGGGATGCAGCAGTACCAGGCAGCACAAGCAAAGGTGATCATTAAAGGATGGAGGCCCAGACGCCAGCCAACGAAACCTACACTCACCCACGAAACTGGCCGAGCAGCGTTTGCCAGCTTCTCTCTCTCTCTCTCTCTCTCTCTCTCTCTCTCTCTCTGCCTCGGAGAGAGATACGATCTCTCCGGAGAAGAGAGCAAAGGCCTTGACGTTAACACTCTGCTGTAAACCACTGTGCAAATGACTTAATTGGGATGTTCAGGGCTGAGGGAAAAAGTTTTGTCAACAACCCCAACGGGGGCAGAAAAAAAAGGAAGGAAGGAAGGAAGGAAAACTGAAAGGGCAAAAAAGAAAACAAAATCAGAGGGGTTTGGTGCTGGGTCCAGGGTGCACCAGATGCCACAGATTTGAGAAGACCCTTTACGGACTCTCTTCTTGCCCCTATTCCCCCCAGGATTTGGGGAGAGTCTGAGTATTTGACCCATAGGTTATAGGCCAGACTGACATCTCCCTGACATGTTTTCTGTTGAATACATAAGAAACCTCCCCCCCGATTCTGCTACCACCACGGTCCTCAGCATTGAGAGGGATGCCATAAGGATGTTTTCTATAGGAACAGGCGTGTTAAGTTTGAGTCTCTGCCCCGAGGAAGACGCAGAAAGGAACTTGCACGTCATCAGGGACGACGCCAGAAGGCAGAACAATGCCAAAAGAGATCTTACATGGATTCTTCCAGGGTTTCAAAGAAAACCTTCATGGAGATATCCCAGCCTCGGTGCTCTCCCACTGGGCTGCATCCTTAAAAACAAGGTTCTAGTCCTCAAGAAAACAGCAAAATGCCTGATACTGGTATAAATAGCTGTTCCATGTAGCCACACATGTTCTGCATGTTGAACCAACGTGGTGTCCGCGACATGTTTTGGGCGACTGCCGCAGTCTGTCACCATTTTACCCCAGGGAAAGAGAGCGAAAAGGAGGAGGGATTTGATTATGGGCCCAGATAGGAAAGCAGAGAAGGAATATACTTTGTTACTTTTTGCATTCTTTAAGGAATAAAGAAATTCCCAATGGATTCAGAGAAGGGAGACATCCCCCCCTTCCCCCGTTTGGGTCAACCCTAAAAGGTTTAGGAAGCGACCCTTGGAAAATGCAGTTCTGGGTATCTCCAGGTGGGAGTGACAGCCAAACCTCAAATGCTTATCTTTCTGAATGTGTGTGCATTAGTATATGTAGGGTTTTTTTGGGGGGGGGGTCTTTTGCAGGGTCTTACCATTACCCTTATTCTGTGGAAACGTCCTACCTTGTCTTTCCATCACCGTATTGAACGCAACCCCCTTTTTGGCCCATTTCAAGGTGCCTGGGTGAGCAGTGGAGTGGCGGAGCACAGCGTCTGTCTGACAAGGGCCTGGGTTCAAATCCCCACTGGGCCACAGAAACTCACCAGGGTTGGGATGCTGATGGCAACAGGGGAAACCCCCTCCTTGAATCTCCCCAAAACCCCTCAAAACCCTACCAGGATCCCCACAACTCTGAAAGGACTTGGCAGGCCAGAATGACAGTGAATCGGAAGGGACAGCGCAGAATAAAAAAAATGCTGGCTATAGTTATACTTTTGGGAATCTTTAAAACAATTCAACTATTGCTACTTTTTCTTTCTTAACAGAATGGGGGACGTGCAGGTGTTTTCACAAATAGACATTCAAAAACACTCAACTCCCCAGCCTGCTTTTTCCCCAAAGCACCCTATTAACGCCCCCTCCATCGCCCCTCTCCCCCCTTAACTTATTCCCAAACTGGCCCCAGCCCTCTCTCCCTCTGCATCCGAGTCGCCCCCTTTCCTTCTCCTGCCCTAGCCCTGTCGCCAAGTTCCTTCGCCAACCCCTTCTCCCCACATCCCCGTCCTCGACTTCCAGTCTCCTGCATGTACCCCCGACTTCTCCAACCGTTCCCCCTTTGGGGCATGTGAAAGGGTCTGGGTTAGGGTTAGGGGGTGGGGTGCCTTCCTCAACCCTCTTCCCCCCCGTCCCCCCCACCTTTCCGTCCGGCACCTCGCCTCTGCATCTCCACCACGCCTCCCTCCGCGCGTCCTCTTTTTGCGCGCGGTGCCAACTTCGCTCTCCCTTTCCAGACTTGGAATTCTAAACACCCAACCCCTTAACTCGGATCCCCGACCCCTTCTCCACATCCCCCCCTCCAATCCGACCTTTGCGCCATCTCTAGGGCCCAAGGAAAGGAGGAGAAGCGCGCCCGCTCGTTACTTCGCGAGCTACCCCGCCAGCCCTCTCTCTCTCTCTCTGCACCGGCCACGGGGGCGCCCCCCTTGGGAGCGCTCGGGCGCTGGAGAGGCCGGTTGCGCGCCTGCCCCCAAGTGCCCCGGTGCTGCCCTTGCGCGCCTTTTGCGCGCGCTCTTGCCTTACCTCGGGAGGGGGCGAGGGCGCCGTCTCTACTGCGCTTGGCTCCTGCGGGGCCGCTGGTGCTGGGCTCCATGGAGGCGCGGGGATCAGCGGAGGGAGGGGAAAAGGGGAGAAGGGAAAAAGGCGCCTCTCCTCTCGGAGCCCCGTCTGCCGCTCCCGCTGCCTGCGCGGCGGGGACCCTCCGGGTGGCGGTGGCGGCGCTGGCACCGGGACGGGCGGCCGCGGCAGCTTTCGGCGGAGAGCAGGGAAAAGCAGTGGCTTCCAGAACCCGGCGGGACGGCCCTTGCAGAGGCGGCGCGCGGCCGATAGGGGCGCACTGAGGCCGCCCTGCCCCGTGTCCTCCTCTCTCTCTCTCAATCGGCCGGAGCGGCAGGCAGCAATTAAACAGGTGGAGCCTTCTCTCGATCAAAAAGGAAAATGGGTAAAACGCTCCGCACCTGTTGAGCTTCGGCCCGTTGGTCGAAACTGGGCTCCCTCCCTCTCGGCGCGCGTCTAATTTGAGTTTGCACCCATATCCATACGTCTCTGCGCTGAGCCCTGGGAAGAAGCTTAGTCCACCTGTTCTCAAAATGTCAGGCATAAATGTGGGGGGGGGACCCTAATCCTAACCCTACCAATGGATGTCTTGAGAAAATGCACTGATTTTTTTTCAAGAGGTGGTACCCATTCCCTTTCGTATGTTTTCTATACCTCTGCCCCCACGTGGTTTTAAGGGGGGGATTATAGGTCAAATTTAGAATTAATGAATTAAAAAATTGGATTTTCTGCCTGAAATCTCAGGAGCTGATGTTGCCCCGGTTATCTGTCTACAGATTAGTTACATTGTGGCCATGATGTTTCATTTAGTCGTACTTTTATGAGCTATTTCCTGTAGCACTAAAATATTAAATAAGAACACTTTCAAACCGCTTTTGAACACCTGGGCTGTCCTTAAACAGGTCGAGCTCTTTCTTTGCTTACGTTCCCCCCCACCCCCGCTGGATGATTTTTCTTTTTATAAAACTTGTCTGTTATGTAGCTTGTATTCGGTGTCTCATCTCCGCCCCAAGTCCTTAATGAGAAGGAGGCAGGTTTCTGACGCTCATGATTTTTAACAAGCGTGCAACAGGCTGTAATTAAACAGATTAAGCTTCTCCCGGGAATGCAGCGTCCTGCCGGGAAGAGGCGCATCACCTGTTGGATTTTTTTTTTTACTTATTATGCAAGCTGCCTTCAGCGGTAAACACTTAACAACTGTAAATAGGCTGTCGTTAAACAGGTCATGATCTCCCTAAAAGTCCTCCCTAGGAAAAACAAATCCTGTTGAATTTCTGTCTATAAGACCCTTTCTGTCTTTCATCCTTCGTCCCTCATGTATCTGGAAGGCGGTTGTGCGAAACACCGTTTCTGATATAACTCTGGGGGCTTTAAAAAGCGTACACCAGAATGCAATCAAACTGGGAAAGCTTTCACACACGGAGACACGACCCTACCTGGAAAACATCACCAAGTTAATATCTGCCTGCATTGCATGCATATGCTCACTCCCAGCTTCATTATAAAGGCATTCCAAGCCTCTCCCCCACCCCAATTACAGTACAGCATAACAGACTACTATCAAACCGGACAAGACCCCCCCCCCCCCATATGTGCGTTACTCTGCTTGGAAATACTCCACCAGTTGTACTTCTGGGACAAAACCCTTGCCACGTAGACAGTGGCCCATTTCTCCTCTCTGTAGTAAAGAGTTAAAGCCTTTCACCAGTTGCAGAACAGGCAGCCATTAAACAGGTGAAGCCTCCTTGGCGACCCACCTGTCACCCTTAGATGTTGCAGTTGGTTTTTCACCTATCGGCTGCTTTTAAGGGCATTTAAACCCCTGCGATGCCAGGTCTTTGCCGGCTTTGAACAACCGCGCAACGAACAGCATTGAAAGCGAGGCACTCTCCTTTCCCCCTACCGCCCGTACAGACAGCCGCCAAACAGGTGAAGCTCATCTCTTTTAAACAGGAAAACAAAAGAGAGAGAGCGAGAACTGTAGCTAACCCGCCCGCTCCCTTTCCACTTAGGCTCATTGATTATTTTGCCTTCTACCAAAAGCTCTCTTTGGAAGCAGGCAGAAATACAACCGGTAAAGCTCAGACTTTTTTTTTTTTTAAAAAAAAAATATATATTTGCTTTTCAATCACGGCTGGATGATGATAGCCACGGGCTCCGGCGAGCAGTGCTCGATTAGCCGGGGCTGCCCGGCCACCTTGTGTGTTACACAACCACAATCTTGGCTGCGCGGCGGCAGCAGCAGCAGCGTCCCAGCCCAGGCGCTGGATCGGGGCCAGCCGCCGCCGAGGATCTCCGACTGCGCCGGCTGTCAACAGAGCCACGCCGAGGCCTCGTGACTCGGCGTGTCCATCATCCTCCCCTTTTCTCCGCCCACTCGCCCGGTCCGGAGAGCTCCGCCTTCCGGGAGGTCACGTGTTCCTGGGCATGGGCTGGGAAAAGCCGACCTGGGAAGGGCAGGGCAGAACTTTTTCCCTCCTTTGCCAGAACCGGTTTTAGACTACAACTCCCATCACCCGTCAAGGGTGGGCGTTTCAAAGAACCTTGTAATGTAATGCCTTCCCCACCTCCCTCGCCCCGCCAATGTCCCGTGGCTCTCCTTCTATCTCAACCTTCGGGTTGACTCCAAGTCCCATCATCCGCACCGCCGCTTCTTCCCGTGGAGAGGGTCAGTTGTAAACAGAATGGCGTTTTAAGCGCCCCGGCCCCCGTTGCCTTTTGCTTGCCTCTGGTTGCAACCTTCCCCTGCCGGACTTCGATTGGGAATACAATTCCCATCATCCTCACTATTCACCGTGTCGCTACCCCCACGCCCACTTGGCACGGATGTTATCCGTTTAAAATAAAACTGCGTTTTGAACACCACATACCCCTCGTTCTTCTCCTTCAATTACAACTTCCATCCCCAATCAGGCATTTGGGACTACAAATCTCATCATTCCCAGCATATTGCACATATCCTTTCTCCATTAATCCGTCCCATTGGAAAAGCTTTAAAGGGAGAATCGTGTTCATTTTCTAGCCTCTTTTTCTCTCTGTGTGTCGCCACTTCCACCGGTCTAGTGCCTTCCCTGGACGTTAACTACAACTCCCATCATCTCTGACCACTGCAAATTTACTGCTCCTCTCCGTTAATGCCTCCCTTCCCCCCCCCCGTGTTTGTCGTGCTAAATGATTACGCTCAATATTTTGCTATGTTGTCCTTTGCGGTTTTAAGTTTGGCTTGCAGCCACTTTTCACGAACTTTATTTACGATTTTAATTGTATTTGTTCAACAAGATGTTACAATATTTTATATATTTGTATACATTACTCTCAGCACTTCAGCTATCGGGTGTCTCAAGGACCATTGAATTCATTCACAAATATATAATAATAGATCCATCCATGGCTGCTCTTTTTCTTCCCTCTCTTCTCTGGTGAAACATGGGCGCACTTGTCAATAAAACTATTTTCGACACCACAGACAGAAATTCAAAGGGTGTAGCTTTTGGCTACTCCTGCCTCCCTCAACCACAACATGTGGCCATGAATAAGCTTCTTCTTCTTCTTCTTTTTAAAAAAGGCTTGGGCAAATTCATGGAGAAAACAGGGACCTGTTACAACACAGGGTGTGGATTAATATAA